AGCATGACAACTGGAACATGTTTTGTTGTGATTCTCCATGTTGACTGATTTGGGTATATGGAGAGAAATCAGTGATATTTTCGTCAGTCTGCAGAATTGGTCTTGTGTAGTGTTTGGTGAACTATTGTATAGTTGCACTTTCTCTGTGTATTTCATTTACAGCACTCTAATCACTGAGAATTAGACTTGCTAAAAGTGTTTTAGGTTAGCAACAGCAGTGTGTAACTGATTCGAAAAGATTAAAGTCATATGAAATGTGTGTGTTTCGTATGGTAACAAAATATTGTTTTTATAAAGTTGTGTATAGTTTTGACAAAAGTGTTCCATTTTGCAAATGATCTGAAGTGTTGTGCTACTTTGGTGTAGGGTTGTGTTAATTGTGTGTAGTGTTTTGACAAACCGGGCCCTGTTTTCAAAATTGTGCTTAAGCAATCGTAAAAAACTGTAAAAGGAAGATACATTTGAGTGTCATCTGCATACAAGTGAAAAGATATACTGATATACAGTAGTACATAAACTTTTGTGGAGATGAGAAAAAAACACCTTAGCAACATCTCTTCGTATAGCTGGATATGGCCACTTCATCCATATCACAGTCAATGTCCTCCCTCACAAGACAGCAAGGGAAGAATCTTCTCGAATAGTGAATCCATCCTTACACAGACTCTGCATCTATTAGGTCACAGGCCTCCTCCATAGCTTGAATGAGGGGTATAACATAGGGTCGGAAATCATAAACCTTCCACTGCCATGCAGAAGGGGAAAAGGAAAGGAAGGGAGAGTGTTGGGGAAGGTACTGGAATAATGGAACAAGATATTTAGTCTGCCCAATACTTGTCTAAAAACGTGAGTATGTGGTCGATGTTGTAAGGACCTATTTTGGCATGCCGGTGGAGGACCCCATTCTGCGTCATTGCAGCATATATTGTGATGTTACCCCCACACTGACCTGGGACATTCAAAAGAGCTCTGTGACCAAAGATGTTTATCCCTAGTCCTCTTCCTCTTCCTGCACCACTGCCTTTCATTTCTGTTAAAGACAAAAATTCACCTGTTGCCTTTTTATAGTGCTTACACCTTGATTGTTGAGTTTACAGCTAAGCACCTAAGTGTCTGCACACCTGATGGCCGTGTTTGATCAATTAGTTCATATGTGTAGTATTTTGGAAAGCAGTGTCTTAAAATGGCAAAGAAGTGACATCATGTTAGATTTATGTGTCTAATGTAAAGAAGTGTGTTTAGTGTCTTGCAAAACAATATGTGTAATATTTTGCAAAAAGTGTGAGGCTGAGAATGTGCTTATAGTTGTGCAGATTTGGGCTGAGGTTTTGGTCCTTGAGTGTAAGGTTTCACTAACTGTGTGTTATTTTTAATTTTAGAGTGTAAGCAATCATAAAAAAATGTAATATTTGCAAAGAAGTAGGGATGTAACGATTAACCGCGAGCCGGTTGAAAATCGATTCAAATACGTGACAATTCAAATGGGTTGAGATGCTAAACATCGCGATTCAGTTAGGGGCATGAGTTTATATGAATGTATGTCTGAGGGGAACTTACTGTCTTTAGAAAAGTTTAGATGGTATTATTTTATTTTCCTCTTGCCTCTTTATAATGCATATTAAAGTTCATATGTGCAGCGCTGCTTTGTTTACAGCGGAAACCAAGGAAACGCTTTACGCGCCACCTGCTGGCAGAGAGTGAATCTGCGTCTCATTCTGCTCGTCCGCTGTTTAATGCAGATATTTTTTTATGTATAGTTTCACAAAAACTAATGTCAAACCATTCTGTTTTTGCTTCAAATTTCGAAATTATACAATCTGATTTAGATTAAAAACTGCTCATGTTGCATGTACAGTGGGTACAGAAAATATTCAGACCCCCTTAAATTTTTCACTCTTTGTTATATTGCAGCCATTTGCTAAAATCATTTAAGTTAATTTTTTCCCTCATTAACGTACACACAGCACCCCATATTGACAGAAAAACACAGAATTGTTGACATTTTTGCAGATTTATTAAAAAAGAAAAACTGAAATATCACATGGTCCTAAGTATTCAGACCCTTTGCTGTGACACTCATATATTTAACTCAGGTGCTGTCCATTTCTTCTGATCATCCTTGAGATGGTTCTACACCTTCACTTGAGTCCAGCTGTGTTTGATTATACTGATTGGACTTGATTAGGAAAACCACACACCTGTCTATATAAGACCTTACAACTCACAGTGCATGTCAGAGCAAATGAGAATCATGAGGTCAAAGGAACTGCCTGAAGAGCTCAGAGACAGAATTGTGAAAAATTTAAGGGGGTCTGAATACTTTCCGTACCCACTGTATGCAGCATCTTTGTTTGGATCATTAAAATGCAGTGGTTGCCTCTCATTTTAAATGGAAAGAGCACAGACAAAGCCTTATTTAGTTTATATGAAGAGATTTGTTTTATTTGTGTTACTTATTTATTTGAGTTGGGGCTTGCTTTTAAATTTCAATTTAGTTTTGTCATTTAGCAGACACTTTTATCCAAAGCGACTTACAAATGATTTCAATAGAAGCAATCAAAACCAACAAAAGAGCAATAATGTGCATTTCTCAAAACAATTCGTACAAACAGCACCACACAATGGATTACCTGCAAAAGCCTGCAACTTACTCAAAGTCTTTGGTTAATCTCTTAAAAGTAAGTATTTATTATGTCAATAAAAATATCAGTGCCATCAGAATGAAAAGTACTTGTGTCATTGTTCACAATCAAGATAGTCACAATGCTTAGTCATGTTGTCAATATAACACTGCACTCTGTTAGTATTACCTGACGTAAACTGCGGCAACCGTTTGGATGACAGTTACTGTATTGAAATGCAGAAGGATGCACAAAATTACAAATTTACACATTACTGTATGTGGGATATTGATTGAAAGAGACTGAATAGGATTCACAGCAACACTTTTACTAGTGGACTGACAAAACACACACACACATTACAGTGTCATTGCGATACAGAAAAGAAAAGAAATATGGGCACAAAGGTGAAAATACACAATTAGAAACTCCATTATCAGAATTTGTTACTCTTGTGTTGTCCTCTGTCAATGTATACTTTCCAATTACAGTTTTTCTCAGTCGCTTTGGTGCATTTCTCAAATCATCCTTAATATTTGCAAAAAAAATATATGCATTTTTCAAAATATTTTGGGTAAGTTACAGGCTTTTGCAGGTAATCCATTGTGTGGTGCTGTTTGTACGAATTGTTTTGTTCATGTCTCGAAAGTAAGTATTTATGTCAATGACCATATCAGTACCATCAGAATGAAAAGTACTTGTGTCATTGTTCACAAACAAGATAGTCAAAATGCTTAGTCATGTTGTCAATAAAACAGTGCACTCTGTTAGTATTACCTGATGTAAACTATGGCAACATTTTGGATGACAGTTACTGTATTGAAGTTTGAACAGTATGTCATATGCTTATGTATGCCATATATCCATTTCAAAAGTACAAATTTACACATTACTGTATGTGGGATATTGATTGAAAGAGACTGGTTAGAATTCCCAGTTACAATTTTACTAGTGGTCTGACCAAAAAATAAATAAATAAAACACATTACAATGTCATGGTGAAATAGAAAAGGAAAAAGAAATATGGGCACAAAGATGAAAATAAAAAAATAAGAAAGTCCATTGTCAGAATTTGTAACTCTTGGGTTGTCCTCTGTCAATACAGTATATGCTTTCCAACTGAAAATTTATGAGATGAACTTTTGAGCTGTTTCAGAGAAATGGTTTATCATTGGTTGATCTACATTCTCTTCATTAGTGAAAGTTAAAATTCACTTGCACAATTCATGCCAAATTTACAAAAAGTCTAATAATAATGTGTAAAAAATGCGCTCAACAGTTTATGACAACTAGATGAACCATTTTGCATTTAATGACTTATACGATGAACTAATGACTAGATGTTTTGAGGGGTAAGACTATTGCACAGAAACCTATATAATACATGTTGAGCAACGTGACATTAGCAACTGATAATGTAGGAAACTGCAGATAAATGTACATAATCAATTGCATGTATGTACCAAAACAATCGCAACTTGTTCAAAAGAATCAGAAACTGCTTTTCTGATCTGCACAAGGGACTAGATGATGTGGAGGTTGTACAAGTAGTTTTGAGAATTTCATTTCTGATTTGAGAAATGCACCAAAGCGACTGAGAAAAACTGTATATTGTATCTGTGGGTAGTATTGAAACCCTGTAGATGAGCCTGCCCTGTAAGCCAACTTCATTCGTGGTCAGTTCATGCAGAAGAACATGGTCAACAATAGTGCTTTGTATTTCATCAGGAACAAATGACCTTTGACCTCATCCCCATCATTTTTATTTTCCCCCGATTTGCACTAAATAAAACCAAATAATCCACGCATAAGATGAAATCAACAGATGCAAGGAGTGTTCGATGAAGCCGTGTGCACGTTAGCATTTGTTAGCGGTTAGCTTGGCATTCGTGTTTCCATTCGCATCTA